AGAGTGGAGGTGGGCAGAGAATGGACCTGAAGGGGCCCCTGGAAAATATTCCTGGGAAAAAATTGGGGAATGTGGTTTTAGCTAGAACCTTCTGAGAGAAACTGTCAATAGGCTGGTTGCCTAACCAGCTGATGTGAACTAGCTTCGTGGTTCCCCAGCTGGAATGGGTCTTGGGGCAAGGGGCTTGGTTTGGGGCTGGGAGGCCACACCTCAAATCCCAGCTGGCTGCTCCAGATGGCCCACACGGGCCTTGCCTCAGTTTTGTTCCTGCCTCTGAAAAAGGTTACTGTGCCCAGGGACCTGTTCCTAACAACTCAGGACTCCCGTCACATTTCAGATTTAGGCTTAAAAAAAAAAAAAAAAGCGTAGCACATTATCGTGGAAATCACTCAGAACCTTTATTATGGCATAAAAATTAGGATTTTTAATAGCCTAATGAGAATTGAAAACTATACCTTGGAATAAAGCAAATAACCAAATTCCAGTTAAAAACTCTGAAGCCTGCTGTGCCCTCTCTCACTTGTGGGATTTTTTTGTTTGTGTTTTTGTTTTATTTCAAAATTGAACTTTTTACAAAGTTTTGCATTAAGTTTGTCATATTTTGCATCCATTTGTCGTTAAGGGAGAATAAAGTTATTTGGATTATACATCTCCGGAAAATGAAAAACAAATGAATTTTTTTTCTATTTAATTCTGAACTGCCTCAACGGCCGGTTTTTACAGAGGTATTTTATACAACAGCTGAACTCAACATTAATCTATGAACCAAACATTTCCAAGGGCAGAGGACTCAGAATTATAATAGTTCTGTTACAGAACAAAACCATCCATTACTATCCCTTTCTGCATATGCACAAGTCTTTCATTCTCATTAAATTGTAAAAATGATGAAGTAGTGGCCTCCATGAGATATGTAACATGCTTGTCAATGAAAAAATACATTTGAGGGAGAGGATTTTATTTATAGATGATCATAACCAATGTAGTCAGATCAATGTAGCCATGTTGGAGAGGTGTCCAATAAATCATTCCCATTTCGTAAGAGTTATCGTGAGCTTCCTCACCAACAGATTTGCACATAGTAAAATGGCTAGAGCTGGGATTTTTTTGGCCAAATGAGATGAAAGATCACTGTTACAAAAAAAGAAATAATTATAATAGCACTAGCTCCCATTTATTGAGCCCTTACGGTGCCTGATCCACAGGCATGAATTTATTTACTTCTCACGACAGCCCTGTGGAGTGGGCTCTGCTATTACCCATTTTACAGATGGGGCCCACGCCCTGTTCAATGACAGGCCATTTTTTTTGTTTGTTTGTTTTTTAATTTTATTTATTTTTGACTGCGTTGGGTCTTTGTTGCTGCGCATGGGCTTTCCCTAGTTGCGGCGAGCAGGGGCTTCTCTTCGTTGCGGTGTGCGGGCTTCTCATTGTGGTGACTTCTCTTGTTGCGGAGCACGGGCTCCAGGCGCGCGGGCTTCAGTAGTTGTGGCGCACAGACTTCGGTACTTGTGGCTCGCGGGCTCTAGAGCACGGGCTCAGTAGTTGTGGCGCACGGGCTTAGTTGCTCTGCAGCATGTGGGATCTTCCCGGACCAGGGCTCCAACCCGTGTCCCCTGCAGTGGCACGCGGATTCCTGTGATTTAACAGGGGTTTTCTCCCCTCTTGTGTAAGACAAAATCCAAGATTTGATTTTAAGAAGAGCTGTAGTTCAAGAATAAATTGATAAGGCATGAATTACAAGATTGATCATGAGAATAGAAAAAAGAAGCCTTAACAATGAAGTCATAGATTCTCCCTAAATGGCTTTGTGAAATTAACATTCCATGTAAAAATACAAGCTTTTGTTTGATTGATTAACTTTGGGAACTAGATTAACTAATTCTAAAGTTGACATGAACAGATAGACATGTAAGAATACCAGGAAAACCCTAAACAAGGAGACCATTGAGAAAGGACTGCCCTGCAGGATAATGTCAAGAACTGGATGAGAGTGGGAGATTTTACTCTTCTTGCAAGCCAGGAAGCTGCCCCACCACAGTTGCATGAGGCTTGTAGAAGACATGAGATCCCCCAGTACATCCAAAGTGTCGGCATCATCAACGTTTTCCTGTGTGGCTTCCCCAAGCCTTTCCCAGAGGTGACATGAAGAGGGCCAGGTGGGTTGCATTAAGGGGAAGAGACCCTGAGTTCAGGAAGCCCACATCATCATGGACAGGACCATGCCTGCCCTTTGCTTCCAGGAGACACTGCCTCTATCTTCCAAGGCTGTTTGCTACACACATATCCTTGATAGATAGCCCAGAACAAAGGCATCTTCAGCTCAAAAGATGTGCAAAAATGCAAGAGACCAAAGACAACTGTCTCCCAACAGATATTGTATTATACAATTTCTATAATTAAAACAGGGTCATGAAAAGACAAATAGAATGGGACACACAGATCAAATAGACCCCAATATATGGGAATTTAGAATTTGATAAAGGTGTCATATCAAATCACTGGGAAAAAAACATGAACTTTTCAAAAAATGGTGTTAGGGAAATAGAGTAGTTATCTGGGGGAAAATTAAGTTGGCTTCATATGTCACAATGTGCTCAGAATCATTCCAAATGAAGAAGATATTTAAATACCTAAAAAATTAAATACCTAAAACTATGTGGAATTGTGCACATCAAAGTAATACTTATATATATACCATCCTACTGGGAAACTTAGCTTTATTTGCAATTTTCTAATTTTCTAAAGGCCAATAAATATAGAAGGAATGATGGAGTTAGAACATTGCCATTTTGAACCATCATAGTAATGATTGATTAAAGCTAGAAATATCAATGGTGCTAAAACCACTAGATGAAGGTTTGGGGAATGTAATGGTTAATTCTGTGTGTCAGCTCGGCTGTGCCAGACATTTGGGGAAACACCAGTCTAAGTCAACACTGAAATCTGTAGTCTCTGAGTAAAACAGATTATCCTCCACAATGTGGGCGGGCCTCATGCAACCAGTAGAGAGAAAGCCTGGGGCTCCCAGAGGAAGCGGGAATTCTGCCTCCGTGCACACATCCTATTGGTTTTGTTTCTCTGGAGAACCCTAATACAATGGTATATTCCCACAATTAAATTATTCCTTGCAAAGGAAAAAAAGGGAACTTTGCAGTGGAGGGAGCTGGAGGGCAGTTCTTTAACCGAGGGGCCACCAATAATGGGAAGAACCAGCATCACATGCCCCTGAGGCAAGACCCTGAGAAGGATCTAATAGCATCAATGTGGCAATCCTGCCAAAAACGAACAACCCGATTCTAATCAGGAGGAAAGCTGATTGCAATCACAAGGAAACAATCACAGCTAAAACAGAGGGGGCTTCCCTGGTGGTACAGTGGTTACGACTCCGTGTTCCCAATGCAGGGGGCCTGGGTTTGATCCCTGGTCAGGGAACTAGATCCCACATGTATGCCACAACTAAGAGTTCGCATGCCACAACTAAAGAGCCTGCGAGCCACAACTAAGACCCGGTAAAACTAAAAAAAAAAAAATGTAATCCTGGACTAGATCCTGGATCAAAAAAAATTTTCTATAAAGGATATTAATGGAAAATTGGTTAGATAATAGGATGGCATTGTTAAAATCTCCTGACTGACTAATTGTACTGTAATTAGTTAAGAGAATATCTCTCTTCTTAAGAGAGAAGGAGGGGGAAGAGGGAGAGAGAGCAGGAAAGCAAAAAAGAAAATGTGTAAAAATGGCTAAAATTGGTGAATTCATGTAAAGGGTATATGGAGTTCATTATACTATTCTTATAACTTTTCTGATGTCTGAGATTTTTTTCAGGATAAAGAGTTTAAATTTAAGAAAGAAAACATAAGCATTGTAAATGTTTAAATCAAATATTAATAAGCCTGCTTTGAAAAGACAGACAGAAGGATTTCCAATTCATTTAATTACATGGCAAAAATTTTTGCACCTTCATGCCACTATTCTAGCCATATAATCAAGATGAAGTAAGGTGTTGCAGCAGTAAGCTTTCCACTTGCCCTCCCCCAATTATCTGGTACGAGTCCTCATGGGGTCCTCCCTCCCCACAACTGATACAATTGGTATAAATTCAAAGCCAGGTATTATCTGGCTTGGTACAAGAACTATTTTTTTAAATGCCTGTACCTATGATATGTTTTTCTTCCTTTACCTGTTTATTTTAAAGATTTCTTGAATTGCGGTTTATTTTGTCTTAAAGCTCTGATCAAGCCCCATTTTCATACTTTACAATATGGCAACTCTGCCATCATTACGGGATTTCAGCTCATGCGAAGTCAGGAGCAGAACCGGCCCATCCTAGAAAGTTGGGACTCAGCCCAGGAAGGGGTGTGCAGTGGAGGGACATTCTTGTCGGAAAACCCGACAATGGGCAGTAGGGGCGCAGCCCCAAGCTCAGGGTTTCAAGGGCCGGCTTTGGGGACCTTCGAGACTTAGGAGACAGGGCAGGGTCCCAGTCCTGGAGGACCTCTGGACAAAAGAACTCAGAGCGGAAGTGGGGACAAGATGAGCGTCCAGGTGCTAAAATGCTCATACCAAACAGGGCACTGGTCTCAAAGCAGAAGTGTAAGGGGCATCAGTGTAGGGTGAGCTGCTAGACCAGCGTTGTCACAAGCTCTTGAGGTCACAACTCCTTCAGCCATTTGGTTACCCTCTGACCTTTGCCTTCATTGTCCTTTACTCACCCCTCCCCCTGCCCCACCCCGACTTCCCCAAGGACCAGCCATTTAGAACTGTGCAGACTCAGTTTGACGGTGTCCTCAGTGACCACGGGTGCACTGAATGTTTACTTTGGCTGAATAGGAGTGACTGAGTGTTAAAATCAATACCTGGTTGACGTTGAAGCCAAATATCAAAGACTAAACTCATGGGTTACAAAAAAAAAATCTGAAATATCATCAAAAAGCATTTAATTATTCTTACAATGTTATAAAAATTTTAGAAGTTAATTTTTAAATTTGACATTTCAGTGTTGAAACGATTTCTCTTGCGGCCACGAAACTACATTTTCCCGATATTAGTCACTCACTTTCAGCGGAACTCGTTGGGGGAGCAAGATTTCTTTGGCTTGGCCTTGCAGGGCAAGGTACTGACGCTGATAATGTCACCAAGTTATTAAGCTTCCATTCCTCTTCAGTGGCAAGCGACAAAGGTAAAGATTTATCTATTCTTTAATGCCTGAACTTAAAGATTGATCAATGGGAATGATGCAAGTTCACTGAAACAATCCTGCAAACTAAGACCTGAGCTGTGCTTTAAGAATGATGCTTTATTACACATCGATATGTTACCAAACCAAACTCGGATCCGCTTGCCCTCACGCAGTAAAAACGATCTACTGACGGTAGGTGGCAGTGAAGGAAAGTGCAGCGTTTATTGCAGAGCGCCAAGCAAGGAGTCCAGGGCAGCACATGCTCAAACACCCAAACTCCCCGGTGGGTTTCAAGGAAGCCTTTTTAAAGGGAAGGTGAGGGAGGGGAATTTCAGTTTGTGCACTATTCTGTGATTGGTTGATGGTGAGGTAACAGGGCGGAGCCACAGGGGTTAACATTATCAATCCTTAGGAGCCCTAGGTCTGGGGGCTACGTGCTCCTGGTCATCAAGTAGTTAACTTCTTCCATTTGTGGTGGTTTTAGCACCTGTAAAACAACTCAGAAAATAGGCATCAGATACTATTATTATCTGGGTACTTCAGAGAGGGGCTGAAGCAGGGGATATGGGAGAGGGGTCTGTCCCAGCAAGGGCCCATGGGGTCCTGCTTAGTTACAGATATTTACTCATATTGGAGAATAAGTATTCAGGGATAACAATAAATGTGAACCTTATTCCTTGTATTCCTGGCATCAGCGCGCTGATTAGAGTTAATGGTAACCTAGGTGCCTGAGGTCAGGATGCCTGAAAAGACAAAGAAGTTGGCTCTTTGACCTTCCACAGGTGCGCCTGATTGCACAGCTGAATCAGATTTGGGCCGAAAGCCAGAGCTAAGCACGCTTGCAGCCTTATCTCTTATTGGGTATTTTTCGAGAAAGGTTTCCTGGTCTCTCTACCAAATATTTTTCGGGAAGGTGCGGTACAACAGGATTAGACCACATGCCTGGTGACTGCTGGGGGCTCACTTAAGCCTCTTTGGGGGATGGATGGCTCTGACCCCACAGCTCGACATACCTGTTCTCTCGGTAGGAACATAACACGCACAGGCAGAATCTGTCCTGCGTCCACACCATCAGAGCAGTGCCCTGCACAAAGCTGGCCATCAACTCATTTTCGTGGAAGGAATGAATGAGTGAAGCAATGAATGGATGTCCAGTCACTGGCAGCAATGGCAACATTTTATTTAAGATAAGACCAGCAAATTCCCTGCCTGAGGACATCTGGCCATGACCTAGCTAAAGGCAGAGGGTCTGACCTTATGATTTACTGGAGGTCTTTTTTGACCTCTGATAGCTTTGCTAGAAACCCACCTGGGGCCCCTGGGGGAAGTTTTTGAAAAGCAGGAGGCTCACTCCACCAGAGCCCTGGAAGCAGGAGGGAGGCGGGGCCGCATTTCCAGAGCGGGTAGGTTGCAAAGAGAAGGAAAGAGAACGTGGGCGCGCAACGCCTGTGGTGTTCTGGCAGCTCCCGTTCTCTTTTGCTTCCCGCTGCAGCTCAAGCGGCAGCCTTCAGAGTAGGGCTTCTTAAGTTGCTGTTGAATGGCTTTGACTCATCACCTGACGCTCGTTTTTTGCTCTCATTTTCCATTATGGAAACCTTATCTTGTGAGTCGGGATCGGAGATAAAAACGTGAGAATGGCGGAGGGCGGGGGCGGGGAGTGGGTAAAGGCTGTCTGGGGAGAAGGAAGGGGGACAGAAGCCCTCATAAATCCCTCCTTTGCCCAGAGGGTTTCTTCCGCCGGGAACGTGGAGCCCGCTGCCCTCGCTTTGGGCTGCAGGGGGCGGGCGGGAGAGAGGAGCTCATCCGAAAGGGGAAACTGCGCCCCCCCACGGCTGGTTTTTCTGCCTGCCATCCTCCCCAGCCTGGTCCCTCTAAACCAGGAGCCCCTGACTCCTGAGCCAGGTGTGGGGTTTTTAAAATCGAGGCATATTTGATTTGTATTATATTAGTGTCAGGTGTACAACATAAGTGATTCAATATTTTTATAGATTATACTCCATTTCAAGTTACTACGAAATAATGGGTGTATGTCCCTGTGCTGTACAATATATCCTTGTTGATGATCTATTTTATACACGATGGTTTGTGTCTCTTAATCCGCCTTGCCTGTCTTGCCCACCTCACCCCCACTGGTAACCACTGGTTTGTTCTCTATACGTGTCTGTTTCTGTTTTGTTGTATACATTTGTCTGTTTTATCTTTTAGATTCCATATATAAGTGATAGCAAAGAGTATCTGTCTGACATTTGTGGCTTTGGTAAGGGCAAATATAAATTAAGAATAAGAGGCTTAATTCCTCCGGTTGAAAGGGGGCGGGGAAAAGCCTTCTCCAACCTCTCCCTTTTCTTTCAGAATTTTTCTCTGTCCCTTCAAATGTATGTAAATCTTTTTATTGGACAGAGAAGCCACTTGCCACCCTTAAGACTCAGGGTCATTTCCTCGAGGACCTGGAGCCAGTCCCTTTGCAATGTAATATCAGGGAAGATAAGGCCCTGGCTCCCAGTTTCCCAGGAGGAGATGGGCCGGAATTGTCACCTGACTCTGCACTGTGAAACCCACAAATGTAATCGATGTACCCACTTAGCCACGGAAGAGTGAGGCGCTTCCTGTCTGCAGTCTCATTAGCAGGTTGCCTGCTTGATCGATAGTAAAACTGCTTTCTTTCTCTGCTACCATTGTGGAGAGGTTTTCAGGGTTAGGAGCGGATTGTGTTTTTAATTCTATTCCCCACACTTTGTACAGCGCCAGGAATGAATTTCATGTCAGGAACAAGCAGAGAGACAAATCCTCTTACTGACCTGACGAAGGCGGTCCAGGCCCAGCGCTCTGTGGCTTCTCTCCCAGATTTTTAGCCGCTGATGTTTGTACTTGTGGGCTTTGAATTGTGGGCAGAACATGCTCTGTGAGCATCAAAATATGGAGCCTAAATCTACAGGAACGGGATTTCGGAAGTGTCCTGAGACGGCTGCTCTTGGCCCACGTGCTTTGATTCCATCTCCAGCCTGAGAGGCCTGGTGGATGGTGAGATTCCTGTGAATCGCATCACCCCAGGTGGCACCAAATCCCTTGCTCGCTTATCCTGGTGCAGCCCGCCCTGGGCTGTGGCTGTCCTCAGTCAGCAAACCAGCGAAATCAGAGGCCCTCCCACTGTACGGGACATGATTACCTGCCGCAAGACACTCCCCTCCTTTATTGCCAGCAATCTTTCCCTGAGTCCCACCCCGGGACTCTCAGCGGTTGGAGCTGAATCAGCTTTAATCGGCGTCTTCTCTTTAGCTACCCAGAATCACCTGGGGAGGCTCTGCGGGCACACTCACACCTTAATCTGTTTGCTTTTTGCAAATGTCCACCAAGACCTCACACTTGGGATGGAGCTTTGGAAGGAGAAGATGAGGACTGAAGAAATATGGATTAAGAAAAGAAGTTATTTTAGAGCTGGGCATGTAAATGGAGGGCACCATGGGGGAGAGGTCTGTTAGGACATTTATGTACAGCCCAGAAAGCCAGCCGGCTAGGTAAAGTCAGACTTGTAGGAGGTCAGACCATCATCTCCAGTAACCAGTCCAGGAAGCTAAACAATAACCCTTCTAGCAACTGTCCCAGAATGGCCAGGACTTGCTTAATAACTGCCAGCTTCCCTAATTTTCATCCTCGCTTCCAACTTGGGGCCAATCAGAGAAAGCCAAACATGCTCCCCAACCAATCACATAGAGGCCCTCTTCCTAGTTGTCCCGCCCCCCCAGCTTCCGCAGGCCAATAGCCTCCAATCAGGGCCCAGGTGGAGCCTTCCCTTTTCTCTTCTATGAAGCTCTCCCCTTGCCCTGCCTGCCCTCGAGTCTCTGCCAAACACAAATGATGGTGGCTGACTCCCTGCTACAGCAGGCGCTGAATCAATAGTGTCTGCTTCTCTCATTTGGCTCTTTGTTTATTTCCACAAAGGTAAGACCACCTTCTCCTGTCAGAAGAGAGAAGGCTCCTTCCAGGGCGGGGGGTGAGTGGAGTGAGTGATGGGTCAGTGTCCTCTCCTCCTGCCAGGGTAAGTCTGTGTGCTGCATCCAGGGGGCCAGAGCTGCTTTTTAGGACTGGGAGCAACGTTCATGGTCACCACAGGCAGAGGCTTATGAAAGAGGTCTTGCCACGTGCCAGCTCTTCCTTCCAGAATCCTCACACCGTCCTCCCAGACGGTCCTGCCATCGCATCCCAGCCTGCCCTCCCCAGGGCGGAGATGATCAGACAGGGGTCTGAGCTGGTGTTCTGGAAGCGCCTTCCCCACGTGGGTGTTCCAGTTACTAAGCCATCAGGTCTGTGGGCATCATTTTGGAGTGTCATGGGAAGTGACTCTCTGGCCCGTCTCCTTTAGAAAGCAAACAAAAGCCCCACTGGCGGTCACCCTGGCAGAGCGGTAGGCACTGTGGCAAGTGGCAATACAGCTGCAGGCAGGAAGGAGAATGCTCTGACAGACCCTGACAGAATGGGCAGCACTGTGCTGCTTGGCAACCGCTTGGGGTACCCTGACGGCTGGTGATAGCAACGATCAGATACAGAGGATGGGCAGCCTGACCTCTGCCTTCAGACAAAGAATGAATCAGGTTCCCGGTAGACATAGTGAGTTAGACCTCATGGAATAGAGTTTCATGTACTTTCTCCAGCTCTTCCTTCATGAGGTGGCCTAGCTTTCCATGAAAATATTCAGAGGTGTCCCTAACCTTCATCCTTTACACTAAAGCCTCAGGGAAACTGATTCTCCTGTATTTTTTGAGAGTGTTAATTCAGCCATGTGGGATGTTCTGGGGGTTATAAAGAAACATCCATGAGCAGGCCCCCAAATGTCTGTTCCCATCAGAGACTAGATTGGACACTAAATGTCCTTGCTAAGTCCCGTATTGTTCTTGTGTTTGTTTGGTTTTGTTTTTGTTACTGTCCACAGAAATCCTGTAGACCTTACAGATTTAAGGCACTGGGATGAAAAGAAAGGAATCAACAAAGCAAATGCCAACAAGCATCTGTGTGCTGATGCCACTGGGTTAGGGGGGTGTTTAGATTTGATCTTGTCCTCAAAATGTAGCCAAAAATGGATGCAGAGCTGTCCCTTGGATGGTGACAGTAGTCATGTTCGCTTGGTCTGAGAATGTTCTCAAAATGATGCTCATGGGACTTCCCTGGTGGCTCAGTATTTAAGCATCTGCCTGCCAGTGCAGGGGACGTGGGTTCAAGCCCTGGGCCAGGAAGATCCCACATGCCGCGGAGCAACTAAGCCCGTGCGCCACAACTACTGAGCCTGCATGCCACAACTGCTGAAGCCCACGCGCCTAGAGCCCGTGCTCCACAACAAGAGAAGATGCTGCACTGAGAAGCCCACACACCGCAATGAAGAGTAGCCCCTGCTCACAGCAACAAAGACCCAATGCAGCAAAAAAAAAAAAAAGTATGTTAAAAACGACGCCCGTGTGACTACTCAACGTGGTGAATGTACTGAATTTCACTTTATGGACCTTTTTTGCGTCCAGAAAAATGCTTTCAAAAATCCCTCAGAGGAGAAATGTCGAGCATTATCAAACTCCCCTGTCTCTACCATTATGTTCCAAGCCCTTTTTGGCATAATTACTACATCAAAGGCCATTATCAGCGCTGGGGGTCACCTCGGCCTTTCTCATTTTTAACTGTCAGTCATCACGCTGGAATTTTTTTCACTTCCTGTTCCATTTTTGTGCTTACTCATTTTAATACTTCCTATCTGTTACTGCACCTTATTTTAGCCAATACAGTGTTCCACGGAATTAAAACTCCATTTAGAAGAAAGCACGTGAAAGACAAAACTAAAACGTGCTAACCAACAGAGACCACTAAGCGTCCCAGTGCTGCTGTTCTTTTCATTAGAGGCGCACAGTAAAGGAAACGCACCTCATCTGACCTCGATGCCAGTGCATTTTGGAGCACGTGCATTGGCCTAATGATATGAAGATGCTCCCATAAAACAACTTACCAATTGAAGAGCAGTTAGTTGAATTTTTTTTTAATTATGATGAGGCAGGGTACAGTTTTTTCTTAATAAAAAAATTATAACTCCTAGGCTAGGCCATATTCTTTTCTCATTTTAAGCAGTGTGTCCTCATTTGGTCTGGAAATGTCAAAGAGAGCCTGAATGATGAATGAAGGAGCTTAGGAGAGGCTCAGGGCCCTGCCAGCACTTTGCTGTGTTCTCGGGGAAAACAGTTAACCGTTCCTGACCTCAGCTTTGCCGTCCTGCTTGCTCTTAATCATATTGCAGAATACAGCGCGATTCCAAAGTGAACGAAGGTGAGGCTCCTGGGGTTGGGACAGAACCAGCAGATACGAGACAGTGGCCGACTCCAGATCAGCCAGAGAGGCTGTGCTCATAGTCTACAACGCGTAAAAGCCATCGACGTCAGACGTTTCCTACCAAAATGGTTTCTCAAGATCGATTTCTTGCCTTACTGAGCATCAAACAAAAAATTACTTTTACGTTTCCCATGGCAACAAGCATGCATCCATCCCGTGGATAGATATTTTCACGGGCTTTGCCACAGTTGTTTCCCGGGACTCTGAGCCCCTCTGCCTCAGCCCCAGTCGGGAGCATCGTAGTTTTCTGACTCTTATTCTCAGCTTTTCGTGTTGGAGCATATAGGCCAACACCTCCCTTTCCACTGCATATCAAGTCCTGCTGCCAGAGGATCAGGCCTGAGAGTGGTATCCCCTGGATACCATAACGTCACAACCCCACGTTATGCTACCCCTGGGTCTGCTGTCATCTTTTTTTTTTTTTTTTTTTGCGGTACGCGGGCCTCTCGCTGTTGCGGCCTCTCCCGCTGCGGGGCACAGGCTCCGGACGCGCAGGCTCAGCGGCCATGACTCACGGGCCCAGCCGCCCCGCGGCATGTGGGATCTTCCCGGACCGGGGCACGAACCCGCGTCCCCTGCATCGGCAGGCGGACTCTCAACCACTGCGCCACCAGGGAAGCCCTGCTGTCATCTTTAAGACTTTCTTGATGTTGGAGCCTTGCGTTTCTTCTGGACTTTGATCTTCACCACTGGCGTGTAAGACTTCCTTAACTCCAGACCATCCCTGTTCAGCCCTGGGTATCACCTGATCCAACAAGCTGGAGTCCCTAGACTCCTGGTCCTGGCTCTGCCCAACATGGCTGCCTCATGTACCTCCCCATGGGCCTCTAGCCTCAGTGCGACCAAAGAGGAGGAGTTCCTGGGCCAGAGCAGGCATGAGGTGGCCTCAGAGTCATTGTTGGAATCTCCGGGAATCCGCCTCACAAGACACTGGCGATCATGATGGCTGTCTCTCTAATCCAGTGTGGGCCCCAGACAAGCAGCATTAGCACCATCTGAGAACTAGTTCGAAATGCACAGCTGTACTTAATCAGAAACTCCGAGCCTGGGGCCCAGCCATTGGATGCTTTAACAAGCCCCGCAGGTGATCCTGACATAGACAGGGAGCGTGGGATGCGGATTTTAAGGAAGGCTTTGCTGAAATGCTGGGCCCTTCATGTACCTCCTTGTGATCTAGACTGTCGCCTGGAGAATGCACAGCCCTCAGCTGGCCCACTGGGCTGACAGGACCTGACCATAACCCTGGGATTTCTGGAAGGCATCAGTAAGTCATCTGGATACCCAAAGACAGCAGTCAAAGATTTCCTGAAACGAGATCCTCACGAAGATGGAGGAGATACAGCACAAGCTGCATTGTATCACCACCCCTTCGGAGCCCACTACCCTGGCTGGAAGGCCGTTGTTGTCTTCGACTCCAGAAAACAGACCGCATTGTAGTGGCCCCAAAGGACCACCCAGTGTAGACCGTGGCTGAGCAAAGTTGATCTGGAAATCCAGGACTGAGGGTAAGTAAGGGCCCTGATTTTGAATTTTATGCATCCAGTAATCACTGAAAAGGAACATGTTGCCTTGCTTTGGGGTGGGGGTGGATTCCAAGACACCTGGAAAGTTGTAGGTTAGAATAAATTCTGTCTCAAGTTAATTATTCAGTTTTTCCACTTATTGACTAATGTGCCAGGCATTGTGCTAGGAGTTTCTTGGTTGATCTGCAGAAAACTGTGTGTGAAACCGTTTGCTGGTGGAGAGATGTCAGGCGGTGGAAAGAACTGTGCCTGGAGTCTGACCACTTGGGTTGGGGTCTCAGCTCTGCCACTAGCCACCAACTAAGTACAAACTAAGGGATAAACAGTACTGGGTTCGTGGGCTTTTTTGGTGGCTCAGTGAGAAAATGCCTGATCAATGCTCAAGAAGTAAGTTTCAGTTATGAGTGGTTACTCCCTTTTTAAGGGACATAAGCAACAAAAAGCTTGGAGAGGCAAACCAAAGGTGCTCAGCGCTGGTGGCACATTGGAATCACCTGCGGGGCTTTGCAAAGCCCAGTAATTGGCCAGCACGGCCCCTGCGGCTGAAGCTAGCGGCTGAGTGAGTTGCCTGAGATCTCACCGCCGGCAGGTGGCAGGGCTGGGACTTGAGCCCAGGTGTCCTGACACCGAACGGTAACGAGCCAGTTCAGGGAAGCGCAGGTAACACCTCCAAGTCACATGGCAGAGGTGGTGTGAGGATGCCAGCCTCTGCATGGCTTCCCCATGACAAGACTTACTTGTCACCGTGGGGATGGTATTTTCCCAGCGGGTCCAGTTCAGAGTCTGTCTCAGGTGGTGCTGATCTCAGCAAGAGTGACCCTTCGCGGACATAGACAATGTTTGAAGTTGCAGAGAAGGATCTGAAGGTTTCCTTCTGATTAAAGGGATTACTCGGCCACTTCAAAAAGAAGGAAAAGGAAAAAAAGAGAAAAAAGCTGCTTCCTGACATTATACAGAGCTGACTAATGAATGAAGCACATTCATACTTACTTACCAGCTCTGTCACTTCCTAGCTGAGTGTCTTTGTGCAAGTTACTTAACCTCTCTGTTTCTCACTTTCCTCATTTGAAAAGTTGGGATGATAGGGCTTCCCTGGTGGTGCAGTGGTTGAGAGTCCGCCTGCCAATGCAGGGGACACGGGTTCGTGCCCCGTTCCGGGAGGATCCCACGTGCCGCGGAGCGGCTGGGCTCGTGAGCCATGGCCGCTGAGCCTGCGCGTCCGGAGCCTGTGCTCCGCAATGGGGGAGGCCACAACAGTGAGAGGCCCGCGTACCACAAAAAAAAAAAAAAAAAGTTGGGATGATAATATCAATAGTATGTATCTCAAAGTGTTTCTGTGATGATTGGATGAGATAATATATGGAAAGCCCTAGGAATAGTGAGAGGCATGTAGAAAATGGGCAATTATTAAATTCAGATTTCACAAAATTGAACCCGAGTTTTCTAAGTCTAGGTCTAAAAGTCCCCTCCTTCTATACCTGCACTGCATTGGCCCTGTCTTTGTCATCTTTCACCTGGGCTATTCGGTGGCTGCCCTACCTGTGTCCCTGTCTCTAGGGCTCTTCCAGTTCCTCTTTCCTCCTTTTTATTTATATATTTAAAAAATTTTTATTTAGTTTGTTTTTATTTTATTTTTCATAGTAAAAGTAAAATACTTTACTTTTCATTGTAAAGATAAAGTAGCAGTAGCAAAAAGTGTGGGGTGAGAAAAATCCACCAACAATCCCACTAAATCTGATGTAACTCCTGGCGGCAGTGCTACGTCCTAAGCACAGAGTTCTTTCCGTCGTGGTTCTCACTCTTGAGAGTCCACAAGAACCACCGGGACGACTTGGGTAAAATTCAGACTACTGAGCTCTAGCCTCAGATGTTCTGATTCAGCAGATGCAGGGCTGGAGACCTAAGTACTTCTGATGGCGTTGTCTTTGAGAAATACCCTCGTGGCATCGTGCACGTTCCTATCCTATGTCACCTATTCATGGAAGTGTTTCACCACAAGCACCTTTCCTGGTTGCCACACAAGGCTTCACGACCGTAACCTGGCCTCCACAGGCCTTCCATGGGTCCTGATATTCACTTGTCACAGTTTGGGTGTGTTTTCCTAGCGACCCAGCTCAGATTCTTTCTGTGGTTGCACCGATCTCAGATAAAGGGTGCAGGAATACAACATTCCATCACAGGGGGGCACGGCCATTTACCTCTCATGGAACCTTTCAGTTGAATCTGTGTAAACTATCCAGGCACATCTGTGTGCGATTAACCCAAGGTAGGGTCCAGGGTGGAGACGCAGACCCCGAATCAACCCACTGGGCCAAGACCGAGTCTGGAGCAGGAGATTTAAGACT